GGAGCCTCACTCTATTCCTGAATGGCCTAGTGCTCAATATGTAGTCCAGGCTGACCTCAAACTCACAATAATCCTCCTGTCTCAGACTACTATGTGCTGGGATTGCAGGAATGAGTCCTCATCTCTGGCACAATTATTTTAATATAGAAATTCTGTTCTTTTTTTTCCCCTGAGATTACTTAATTCATAGTCACCATCGACGAGTTTATGAACTGAGCTGAAAATCTACGTGATCTGTAAGTAGCTCACCATTCACTGGATAGCCAAAGAGCCCACGCAACCTAAATCACTCCCTTGATTTAGGAAGTGCTAAATTACTCTTTAGTTCTCTGGCTATCCCTGGTCTGAAGAGCCTAAAGACCAAAGAAAAACATGACAGAATGCTGAAAAGGACTGCTTCGGAGTAAGTTCATACCAACTGGAACAAGTTCTTAAGCTTCTTCCTTGTGATTCTGTTTGTAAAACCACCTTAATTTCATACCATGAGGCAGATATAAAATCCTAAATTTACTACTTTCAGAATCTTCTACTAGTCACAAATAAAAGAGTAAACACAAAATCAAGAGAAATTCATATTAATATTTTATTTCTTCCAATAGATCTCAAATCTTTTCAATATGTAATAATTAACAAAAATATTAGCAATTACTGAATATAACCTTTTCATAGTCTTTGAAATCCATATTTTTATCCTATAGTACATCTCAATTTAGACTAGCCACAATTCATGTGCTCAACAGCGACACGTGGCTAATGTCTACCACACAGAAGCAAACAAGAGCCAACAGACCATGTCAACCATACAACCTAGTTAATAAAGTAATACCAGAGCACAGCCATATCCATTCACTCACATACTGTCTGTGACTGCTTTGGGACCGTAAGAGTGAGCTCAGCAGCTCTGACAGAGATTCTATGATCTGCAAATTGCAAATAATTGTTATCTAGTACTATACAAAAACAGTTTGCCCATGGTCAGACTAGGGCTTGCATGCTAAAACAAGATCTGCAGGATCCTAACAGAATTGAGGACGCTCTTAGGCTGGGGTTAAACAACTGCTTTATTACACTGCCTCTTACCCCTAACGATGACCTCAGAAATTACATTAATAACTCCAATGCCCGGCATAAAGGCTTACCAGAAAGATAATCTGGCCCAGGTCACCCATGGGGCGAAGGTGCATGGTATCATATATGTCACACCGATAGGGTATGATCACTTGTGACCCCATTCGTCCTAAAAGATGAAAGTAAACAGGATCAACATCAACATGATATGGGAATGATACACAATAATGACTGAGAAAATATCAAATTCTAATGTGATAGATTAACTTAATGCTTAGTAAAAAGTGTATTCTGCCATACCAAAGCTGCCATAACTTCTCAGGGTACTGTATTCCCATAATGTCCTATAGAGGAAGCATGGATGTTTTCTCAATGCCAAGGCAGATAAAATTTATATACTTCTAAGACAGAAGTAACTTGTAATATCATTAAAACAAAAACATCTGGCTCACAGTCTCAAGAGGGGCAATCTTAGTTCAGGGCAATGGAGGGCACTGAACTAAAAGAACCTGACTCACCAAGGCCGTTGACAACATATCGACCCAGGAATCCTGTGGCTCCAAACACAGTGGCCACAACTCCACTGACAGATGAGCGGCCACCTTTCCCATGAGGTATGACAGCATGATGAAGCTGGCGATGGGATGGGCCACGAAACACAGATATAGCTGTTGCAGTGATGGCAGGACCTTCAGGAAAACAGCAGAGTCAGCAAACATGGCACATGTTATCATAAAAGCAACCAATAAATAACAGTTTCTTTCTCTAGAAATTTATAACTATTTTGGGAATGGTACCTTAGGGATTTAAGTACCAACAACAGTAAACATAAATTATTGTAGCATAAAATCTATAGGAAATATACAAAACTAGAAAGCAAATACCATGTCGTATTGGGCATATAACCTTAGGTCATATTAAAGTGTTTTGAGAAAGGTTTTAAAGAAGAATAGCAAAGACTAGAATCCCATGAGAAAGACACAACATACACAATCAAGGAGAAGTAAGAATGAGTAAGACTGGAGTGGAGAAACAACAAAAGACCATCTGGACATGAATGAAACTTGATGGCAAGAGAGAAGCAAAACTGAGGATGTGGTTGGAGGCAGAAGACTACTGGTATCTCAAAAGGGAAAAAGAAAGAAAAAGGCTGGAGAGCTAGCTCAGTAGGTAAGGTGTTTGCTATGAAGGCACAAAGTTTGAATCCCTAACACTCAATGTCTGTGTGTCGTTGTGTGTGTGTGTGTATGTGTGTGGAGAGAAAGAAAGAGAGAAAGAGAGAGAGAGAGAGAGAGAGAGAGAGAGAGAGAGAGAGAGGAAGAAGAAAAACCTGCCAAGCATGGTGACACTCATTTGTGGCCCCAGTGACAGGTGATAGAGAGACTGTCTCACCAGGCGGATCCCTAGAGCTCAGTCAAGTCAACCTAGCCAAGTCAATGATTTCAAGTTCAGTGAAGGATTCTGTCTCAGACAGGCAGACAGACAGACAAGGTTGAGAATGATTAAGGAAGACCCCATACATTGATCTCTGGCCTTCACATGCACACACATTCACAAGTACCCATACATATGTATGTCCATATATATATATATATATATATATATATATATATATATATATACACACACAG